TGGATCTTCAAGTTAGGATATTAATTCATATTTCTTTTTTTTGGAGTGTGGCTTTGTTGATTTTATAAAAGGAAAGGAGGATCAATTTGGTGCGTATGCTGCTGTTGAATTTCCAAGTATATTGTTGAAGATTGTTAAAGAATAGAAAGATTGTGCAGAATTAATTGGAAGGCACTTGCTTGCAATTTTTGTTTTTTTTTTTTTTTTAGGAGGCTTTTGCTGCTTTGTGAATTGAAAGAGTGGCTTTGTGAATTGTAGCGGTAGAATGGGGTGAAAATAGTGGGTGTTGGGAATTAAGTCAGCGGCGTGGAATTGTATTTGAGAAATTGAAGGAATTGGAGGAATCGAGGAGGTGAGGGAGATGGAGATGATTCCAGAAGGGGCAAAAACAATAGGTGAGGGCAAAAACAGTAGGTGAGGGAGATGGAGATGGAGATTATTCCAGAAGGCTCAGAGGAGTTGAAGAGGCGAGGGAGATAGAAATGGAGGTGATTCCAGAAAGGGACGAAAAACAGTAGAGGCAAAGTTAAGAGAAACGACGTCGTTTTGATCTGGGACTCTAATTTTTTTTTAGAGGCAAGCTGATGCGCACTTTTTCGTGTATATATATAATATATATATATATATATATATATTGGAAAAGTGTACATCAGTCCTGCCTCCTAAAAAAATTTGGAATCTCAAATCAAAACGACGTCGTTTCTCTTAACTCTGCCTCTACTGTTTTTCGTCCCTTTCTAAAATCACCTCCATTTCCATCTCCTACTCCTGGCCCAATTCCTTCCTCGCCTGCACCCGCTGCAATCTCCACTATTTCCTTGCTAGCTACTCCTTCGTCGTGGCCGCCGCTTACGCCCTATACCTCCTCATTGCCCCGTTCTCTCTCTCTCGCCCTCCTCTCCGTCATCATTGCGCTTTGGATCTTCCTCTACTTGTTCAAAGAAGACTGTTTAGTGTTGTGGGGCCATAGCATAAGCGATCGATGGGTGTGGCGGTGATGTTTTCTTGTTTCCCATTTTTGTTTCCTCCCATTTCTTGAAATTCCTTCTTACTTTTCGACATCGCACGGTAAATGAGATGGAAATTTGCCTTTTTTAGGTCGGTATAGATGTGGTATAGATGTGCCGAGATCAATTCTTGTTCTAGGCTCTGGTAGCTCCTAATTGAGTGCTTTGTGCGGCATGGTGGAGAATTTGGTCATCAGGTTCGGTGTTGGATGCTTTGTTTGTGGGGTTCACGCAATTTTCAGGAACTTTGATGGACTGTACTTAGAAGAGAATGATGTTGTTTGCTATGGTTTGGTACGTTGTTCTGGATCTTCAAGTTAGGATATTAATTCATATTTCTTTTTTTTGGAGTGTGGCTTTGTTGATTTTATAA